AAAAAAAACAAAAAAGAAATACTGAATGGCATGTGTAAAAATATCAACATTTTAGTATAAGTACGAAAAAAATGGGGCAAATATCCATAAAACTTTGAAAGGGAAGCAGACAGCCCCAAAGTATGACTGTGGAAACACTGCGGTTCATGAGAAAATTTTAGGTAAAATACAGGAGAATATTTCATTAGTTACATATTTATGTTAACGTGTCAATGCATATTTCTATTTATGGAAGGCAATTTTGGTTTTCCATTTATGGTAGTGATAAAGTTTCCTCTTTAAGTAGCTAGCTATTTTTTTTCTTTCTTTTTTTTTTTACTTTTTATTTAGAGCATGCCGAGAAAGTTATGTAGCCAGCTATTTTTAAGAACCTAGATGTAGAAATAAAAATATTGAGTATACAGCGGCAAAGGTGGTAAGAGAGTATCACAGAATTAGTGACCTGGTGGGAAAATGACTGATTTGGGAGAAACCATCTGTGGCTATTTCCACCTGTCCTTCAAGTGCACCTGGCAATGGAGCTGAGAATGGGTTCGCGACTGCCAGTTCTGCCACCGACGAGCTGTGTGACCTTGGGTAGCCCAAGCCGTCTCTGGCGCTGTAACTCCGTGAAATGGGGGCGACAGGCCCTGCCGGGTGCTCTTGCCCCCCACAGCGCGAGAGCGGGGGCCGAAGCGGGCCGCGCGCGTAGTTCAAGCCGCTACGCCGGCGGTTTGCGCCGATGCCCTTCACCTCACCTTGCTCGCGGCTCCCGCAACCGCCCCTCCTGCCCCGCACCCAGCCCGGGCCGGCCGCGCGCCCCCTCAGCCCCCCGCCCCTGCCCGGCCGCCCCCTCACCGGGCAGGCACCGCAGCTGCTGGAGCCTCCAGCCCGCCCGGCCGACCCTGCCGGCCAGCGCCGCCGCCATCTTGGAAGCGGGCACGCTGCCCAGGGCGTCGCGACGGGAAGCGTCAGGACCGCCGTAAAAGGAGGGCGGAAGTGGCCGCTCAGGAGTCTCCTCCTCTCGCGAGAGGCGCGCGCGTGCGGAGGAGCCGGGAGCGAGCCCAGGCGGCAGGTGAGAATGGTCCCGGCGATCTAAGTGCCCAACCTCCCCCAACCGTCCCTTCCCTCGTCCCCCCATCCTCGCATTTCTATACCAACCCCTGTCACTCGGTGGGAACGCGGCCACGGTCTCTCCGCTGAGAGCCCCGACGGGCTTGTCCCCCGGGAAGCGGCTATGAGGGGCCAGAGTCGGCTCCTGGTGGTAGATCCCTGCCCTTTCCGGGCTGCCCCGTCTCTCGCGCAGCCGGCCCCATTCTCAGGCCCCGGGGACACCGCGCCGAGGAGGAAGAGCCCTGAGCTGGGGTCCGGGAGACCTGGGTTCTGAGACCCGGTTCTACCAGTAGCCAGCAGTTGTGACCTTGGGCCTCAGTCCCCTTGAAGTTTCTGTCTTTGAGGGTACCTGGCAGCGAAGCACGAAAGCCCAGGTATACCTGAGCCCATAGATTGTAATACTGAGCCTGTGACTTGTCCCGACCCCCAAGGTATTGAGTTGGTATAATTTCCCCAACTTGCGCATAGGAAGAACCACCTAGGATGCTTGTTAATAGAACGCACGCCCAGGTCTTTCTCCTGGAGAGTTGCTTCAGTGTATTTGTTTGTGGTTCAGGAATTTCATTTTAACCAGTCCCCAAGGTAATTTGTAGGATTTGCAAGTTTGGAAGAGGCTGGTGTCATTCATTCTGACATTACTAAGTGCCCAAGCTCTGGATGGATCAAGGAGGTCATGGTACTAGAGTTACTAAACAAATGTAAATGCGAAGTACCTCACTTGGGTATCGTCAGGGAAGGCTTAATAGGAAGAAGTAAATAGTTTTTTGGATTAGGGAAGACAGATGACAGGAACACGTAATTCTGTAAATTTTGTGTGTTTACAGTTAGACCCCATGTTTGTATCTGTTATAAATTGTGTTTTGCATTGTCAACTCGAGTTCTTTCAGAACATCCTGCTCTCCCCTACACAAGTGTTGGGGAAGACCTCCTAAGCCAAAACTCTCCCCAAATGTTCAAATTTCAGATCCACATCTGGATTTAGATAAAGTACTACTGATGTTTTCATGAGGTTTTGTTTCTGAGTTCTGTTCACCCATCTTTGAATGAGCCTTTTCTGTGGAAGCTTCGTTTCCTTTCTGAAACTCTCAATTCCTGACACACACCAAATTCCTGGAGACATAGTCTTTCATTTTTTTTTATTCCTTTGAGTTTTCCTATTTCCTTGCTGATTCTCACTTTAAAAAAAAAAAGTTCTGTGTATGTGTGTGCACATGAGCTTCAGTCAGTTAATTTTAATTACAATTCTCCTTTCTGATAACTGTCAGTATTCTCAGAATATTTTTTATGTGCCTGACTTTAAATGATTTCTTGAACTGAAGCCCAAACTTCAGTCTTATTTTTTAATTTTGGTCCCCTTTAGAGGGACCAAGTGCCTCAAAATTTGATGCTTCCTGGGTACCTTAAAAATAAATGAGTGAATCTCCAGAAGTTACTCTCCAATGTCTGCTTTTACTGCCTGCCAGTGACATTTTAGAAGAGCCTTGGGCAGCAGAGTTGGGAAGTACCTAACAAACAAACTCAGTGACCTGACACTGACGCCACCTCTTATTTGTTGTGAAACTGGGCCCCTGAGTCACCACTTCTAAGTATGTTGGCTTAGGTGCTTGACCTTTTTTCCTTACGAGTTTTTTTTTAGACAGGTCCACACTGATGATAAAAAGTATCTCACTCTGGTTTTTAGATATTTAAAAGAACATTGTCTCCTATTTTATTTGGACAATGCTGACTGCAGGTAATAGCTATGCCTTTTTTTTTTTTTTTTTTTTTTTTTGAGCACTTTGTTGCCCAGGCTAGAGTGAGTGCCGTGGCGTCAGCCTAGCCCACAGCAACTTCAATCTCCTGGGCTCAAGTGATCCTACTGCCTCAACCTCCTGAATAGCTGGGACTACAGGCATGTGCCACCATGCCTGGCTAATTTTTTGTATATATATTTTTAGTTGGCCAATTAATTTCTTTCTGTTTATGGTAGAGACGGGGTCTCGCTCTTGCTCAAGCTGGTTTCAAACTCCTGACCTCGAGCAATCTGCCCGCCTCGGCCTCCCAGAGAGCTAGGATTACAGGCGTGAGCTATCGCACCCAGCCTATGCCTGTTTTTTTGAGGGTTAATTTAATAAATGTATTTTATAAGCTCCCTCTGCCATGAGAAGATCAGTTTGGGGGGATATGAAATGCAAGGCATTTTACATTCTTCTAATTTACTGATACAGTCCCACTGGAGTACGGTCCAAGATTTCATAAAGTGCAGCTCTTATACTGCGTAATTCGAACAATGAAAAAGAAGCTTCACATTGCTCCCTGGGGAGTCCTCCTAGCAGGCCTGGCTAAGGAGGAACAGGGTTCTATAGGACTATTTGAAACAAAGGCAAGTAAACTGGCCACAGAGAAGTAGAGGCCCAGAGCTCTCTTAGGGCATTATTTTAGTGAGCTCTGTATTCCAGGCCCTGCTGAGTGCCTTACATATTTTTATCTTCCCATTTACTTCTTCTAGCAGTCTTGTAAAATATGACGTTATTATCCCTACTTTTATTGATGAGAAAAAGGACTAATAACTTACACAGGTCCTGTACCCAATAGGATCCGGTGGCAGATAAAATCCCAGTTCATCTGCATTCAAAACCTGTGCTCTATAAAATTGCCTCCATAAATGGTGCTGAAAAGGACATCTGGCCTTTTGTTTTTCTCTAGCTATTACGTAATCTTTTGCCCCTGGTTTCCTTCATGTGGGTTTCTCTGTGAGTACAGCGCAGGGTGGTCGTGGTCAATGGCCGGCAGGGTTGTTGTCCCTTTCTATTGTGCCAAGGGAGCACCTGTCCCAACAGCTCTCTAGAAACAGGTCATTTCTTTCTTATAACTTGGTGACCAGTAAGCCATACCCCTGTCTTCCCTGGCTGGTTCTTAAATGTGAGAGCGATCCCAAATTGCTTGCCTTAAAGCTTTGCAAGAGCTCTTCCTGGACATCTTGTGACAGTTAAAAGCTTAAGAGTTTCAGTTCTCAATTGTGTGCTCTTTAGGAATTTAAAAACTCAAACTAGGCTGGGCTCCGTGGCTCACGCCTGTAATCCTAGCACTCTGGGAGGCTGAGGCGGGCGGTTTGCTCGAGGTCAGGATTTCGAGACCAACCTGAGCAAGACTGAGACCCGTCTCTACTATAAATAGAAAGAAATTAATTGGCCAACTAATATATATAGGAAAAATTAGCCAGGCGTGGTGGCACATGCCTGTAGTCCCAGCTACTCGGGAGGCTGAGGCAGAAGGATTGCTTGAGCCCAGGAGTTTGAGGTTGCTGTGAGCTAGGCTGATGCCATGGCACTCACTCTAGCCTGGGCAACAAAGCAAAACTCTGTCTCAAAAAAAAACAAAAAAAAAAACCACCCCAAACTAAATGACTAAGGAAGCCTACGTGTCTGATAGTACTTGGCAACCTTTTACTGAGGCTTGCAGTTGGGTCAAGGTAACAAAGGGTGGACATTCCCCATGGAAGGAACTAGATAAAAGGCATGTAAGTAGGAAGATGCAAAGACTTTTCATAGACTAAGGAAGGATTCACTTTGGAGTGGTGGGAAATGCAGGTGGAGCCAGATTGTGGAGGACCTGGATCCAGAAGGCTAAGGAATTCTGATTTTTCTCTAGAAAATTTTTAGAAAATGAGTGACAAAATTAAAGTGCTGTTGTTTTTAATAACTAAGTGTAAAGTATTAAATCTGGCCATGTTTTGTAGGCAAAGAGGGAAACTATTTGAAGTGAACATTTTTAAAGGTGCAGGAGTGTAGTGACATGGCTTAAATTCAGTCCCAGAGTGTCTGTGGTGGTGTAACTGTCCCTGAGGTGGCCACCTCTGTGGAAGTTAGAAGTGTTCCATGTAAGAGTGATCCGTGCTTGACCCCTCGGCCACAGCTTCTGTCTTTGTTTCATTTATTTGAGCTATTTTCAGTCGGAAACTGGTGTCATTAATGTTTAAGAAAGGAAGGAAGAACTTAGTAGTGTTATCTCTTGACCTAATTTCATTGTGAGCATATTATATACTTACCTGAGTATCAAGTGGAGAAGAAAGTTGATCCATAGAGGGAAAATTTCCATAGGTTAAAAGCGTGGGCTTTACAGTCAGATGGATTTGGATTCAAATCCCAGCTCCTCCTTTATCCACTTAACACTTACTAGTTGTGTGACTTGGGTAAAAATCAATTGCCTCAGTTTCCTGACTGTAAAATGGGTATAATATCTAGTTTTAAGGCTATTCTGGGGTTCACATGAGATAATGTATGTGAGGTGCCTTGAACAGTCTGGCTAATATTAATCATTAAAGAAAGACATAGTAGATATACTTGATCGGCAGATTCAGTGGAATTGAATTTTCATATTTTGATGAAAGGGAAAATATCAATATTCAGTTTGCAAATTTTCACCGTGTTATTTCTTTTTTAAAAGACATTAAGCTTGTGGTTGGGTTATGTCTACCAATTTATTTGCCTTCCTGGCCGAGTCACACTTTTGCCTAATTGATGTCCTGTGTGTTTTATATTAATATTCTGTTCAGGATGAGTTGTCTCAAGTCAAAGAAGAAATAATCTTTCTGCATCTAGTCTCCTTACTCTAGTGCCCTTTTCTTGATTCTGCCAAGTCAGGATTCTCACCAAGGAAGCTTCCTGCCTTCTTTGGGAATGTTGGGATTATGAAACCTGAGGTAATGGTTCGTTTACTCAGACTCTTTGCATCTACAGTAAGGTTTCTAATGTTGTCCCAGGACTCCCTAGTGGGAGGTTGGAAGCAGGTTGTGATTCTAATCGTATTTGATGATACCCCGGGTTAAAGTGTGCCCTTGTCTCTGCTTGGTCTTGATTCTCTTTTGGCCAATAATTGTCTTTGGGTCCATCAGCACTGCAGGAATGGCCGATTTTGGGATCTCAGCTGGCCAGTCTGTGGCAGTGGTCTGGGACACGTCATCCCCAGTGGAGGCTCTGAAAGATCTGGTGGAGAAGCTGCAAGTGTTAACTGGCAGTGAGGGCCGAGTGTCTGTGGAAAACATCAACCAGCTGTTGCAGTGTAAGTACCTACCCATGTCATCCTTATGGGCCAGAGGGCTGTTGGTGGGAGTGCCCCATTTCTGTGGTTCCTTGATATCCGAACTTTGGTTTGGGGTGGCCCATGATAGTACTGGCTGGTCATCCTCTTGTTTTCCAGCTGAGATACAATGAACTTAGAAGTGTAGTTGATGATTTCTGTAAGTGTGTTCATGTTTCTTAGTAGCTATTCCATGCTTTTTTTTTTAAAGCTTACTCGTCATCCAGCTTCTTGGATGAACACCTACCAGTGTTCGTTCTCCCAGGGCGAGGCCTATAGCCTCTGTGGGGGCTTGGAAGGGATTGGGAGGTTGCCTGGGCTCAGGTCATTGCTCATGAGAGTCTTCCTTCTTTTCAGCTGCCCATAAAGAATCTAGCTTTGATATTATCTTGTCGGGTGTAGTCCCGGGAAGCACCACCCTGCACAGTGCTGAGGTTCTGGCTGAGATGGCCCGTATCCTTCGACCTGGTGGATGTCTATTTCTGAAGGAGCCAGTAGAGACAGCCCTAGGTAAGGAAACCTTCACTTGAAAGACAAGTTCGACAGGGTTGAGTCTTTGGGGTATGTGCTGCACCTCCCTGAGCAGGAGATATCATGTGGAGGTCAATATACCTTCTCCTTAGAGGATAAATGATTATTAAAATCTGAAGCAAAAAATCTTTGCTTTGTGATCTTTGGCTGACCCATTATGTCATAAAATAGAAGGAAACTGCCATCCAAAAATAGGTACTTAAGCAGGTGAATGGTTACACTTTGGTATGTCCATAACATGGAAAATGATGCGATGATAAAAAGAGACAAGCTAGCTATCTGTGCATCAACTTGGGTGAATCTCAAGGAAAGTATGTTGAGTGCAAAAAGCCGATCTCAAAAGGTGCTGTGCTGTATGATTCCATTCATGTTCTTTTTTTTTATTTTGAGACAGAGTCTCACTCTGTTGCCCGGGCTAGAGTGCCGTGGCATCAGCCTAGCTCACAGCAACCTCAAACTCCTGGGCTCAGGCAATCCTCCTGCCTCAGCCTCCCAAGTTGCTGGGACTACAGGCATGCACCACCATGCCTGGCTAATTTTTTCTATTTTTTAGTAGAGACGGGGGTCTCACCCTTGCTCAGACTGGCCTTGAACTCCTGAGCTCAAATGATCCTCCCACCTCGGCCTCCCAGAGTACTAGGATTGCAGGCATGAGCCACCATGCCTGGCCTCCATTCATGTTCTTAAAATAACAAATTACAGTGTTGGAGATCAGGTTAGTGGTTGCCAGAGGTAGAAATGGGAGGAAAGGGGGTGGGGGTGTAGCCATAAAAGGGGTTTGAGGGTTCCTTGTGGTGAAGAGACAATTCTGTGTCCTGATTGTGGTGGTGGTTACATAAATCTACACGTATGATAAGATTGTATAGAACTACACACACACACACACACACACACACACACACCCTCAAATAAGTGCATGTAAAATTGGTGAAATCTGGATAAGCTATGTGGAATATCAGTCTTCTGGTCTTTGTATCGTGCTATATTTTATTTTATTTTGTATTTTGTATTTATTTTTTTGAGACAGTCTCACTTTGTTGCCCAGGCTAGCGTGAGTGCCGTGGTGTCAGCCTAGCTCACAGCAACCTCAATCTCCTAGGCTCAAGTGATCCTCCTGCCTCAGCCTCCCGAGTAGCTGGGACTACAGGCATGTGCCACCATGCCCGGCTAATTTTTTCCATATTTTTAGTTGGTCAGTTCATTTCTTTCGATTTGTTTTTAGTAGAGACGGGGTCTCGCTCAGGCTGGTTTTGAACTCCTGAACTCGAGCAATCCCCCCGCCTCAGCTTCCCAGAGTGCTAGGATTAAAAGCGTGAGCTTTTGAGATGAGTCTTTATCCTTAAAAAAAAAAAAAAAAAAAAAAAGCGTGAGCCACCGCGCCTGGCCTATATGGTGCTATAATTGTGTGAGATGTTACCAAAGGGAGAGACAAGGTGAAGGGTCCACCAACCTTGCTGAACCTTTTTTTTTTTTCTTTTGCAACTTCCTGTGAATGTATAGTTATTTCAAAAAAAAAACATTAAAGATAATGGGTGGAAATCTGAGAGTGATGAGGTAATCACTGATTCATGTGAAACTAATGACAGCGTCCAAGAAGTAAAACCTCTTTTTTGCTTAGTGGTGTAGCTGTCAGTGATTCAATTCTAAATTTTCAACATTTTTCATGAGACTTTCAATCAAAATGTGACAATTTATTTCATCAAATAAAATAATAGAAATGAAAATATTTTGAAATATATAAAAGTATTCACTGTCTATGTGGAAATATAACCTTGTGTTATGTGTAAAAACCATCAGCATTCTGTGCTGGGAATTTAACCTTGGGTGACTAAACACAGTATCTATGTCAGAACTATCCAGAGAGAATACTTTTTCTTTTGTGCACTTTGCAGTTTAGAAGCTTCTTTCACAGTCATTCCATAATCCCTGCAGGGGGTTTCCAAAAAGCAGAGTGACAAGAAACAATGATAATGGAGTTATAACATTTAAGAGTATAGATAAAAGCACTTTGAACAACCAAAAGAATGTTTCAAATTAAAATGCTATCACTAGGCCGGGCGCGATGGCTCACGCCTGTAATCCTAGCGCTCTGGGAGGCTGAGGTAAGCAGATTGCTCAAGGTCAGGAGTTCGAAACCAGCCCGAGCAAGAGTGAAACCCCATCTCTACTAAAAATAGAAAGAAAATAATTAGCCAACTAAAAATACATAGAAAAAATTAGCCAGGCATGGTGGCGCATGCCTATAGTCCCAGATACTTGGGAGGCTGAGGCAGAAGGATTGCTTGAGCCCAGGAGTTTGAGGTTGCTGTGAGTTAGGCTGATGCTATGGCACTCTATCAGGGGCAACAGAGTGAGACTCTGCCTCAAATAAAATAAAATAAAATAAAATAAAATAAAATAAAATAAAATAAAATAAAATAAAATAAAATGCTATTACTAAAATATGTGTACAGGTGTTCCTTGACTTACGGTGGGATGACGTCCCGACAGACCTATCACAAGTTGAAAGTACCATAAATCAAAAATGCATTTAATACACTTAATCTACCAAAAAATCATAGCTTAGCCTGGCCTACCTTAAACATGCTCAGAACGCCTACATTAGCCTACAGCTGGGCAAAATCATCCAACACAGAGCCTATTTTATAATAAAGTGTTGGATATCTCATAATTTATTGAATACTCTGCTGAAGTGCAGTCTCTACTGAATCATATTGCTTTAGAACCGTCATAAGTCAGGGACCGTCTGCACATCAAACAGAATAGGCTATTGTTATCTGAATGCCTGCTGACCCACATAGGATTGGGTCTTTATTATTTTTCCTGCTTTGACCTACAAAGCTATTCATTGGGATTCTCCTCTTGCAGTTAACAATAGCAAAGTGAAGACAGCATCTAAACTGTGTTCAGCCCTGACTCTTTCTGGTCTTGTGGAAGTAAAAGAGGTATGTTTGTAGACAGCATTCTTTCCTTTGAATTTAAACCTTGGGTGACCAAACCCAGAGTCTCCTTGTCAGAATAGTCATGGGGAAGGAACAGCCCGGCAGGCAAGGCCATCAGTATTGCTTGGAACCAGAAAACTTTCTCTAAAGTTGAGAAACATGAGCATGTGAGATGCGTAATGCCTTAAGGGACAAAACCACTGGGAATAAGTGTCCTTTGAAGAGACTTGGCTTGGGCTCACGTGGGTTGGGGCTTGTTCTGGTCTCCTCCGTGCTGGTTTCGTGGTGGTGACAGCTGAGATGGGGAGAGCAGCAGCCCTGCTGCTTCCAGCACCCGTCCCTGGATGGGCCTACATCCTAGGCCTGAGTGATATACTGCCACCTTGGTCAGTCTCACCTTTTTGGTGGGAGACTGGAGTAGGTTGGGGGGAAATCCCATTTTGACAATTCAGTGAAGATAGATTTTACTGGATGTAGCCCTGACAGCCTACACCACTTACCTGTCACATGACCTTGGGCCTTAGATACATTATGCTGACCCTTCCTTATTTTTCCTGTTAGTTTAAGGTTTCCCGTGTTTAATTCTGAAATAAGGAATGATTGTAAAAATTCAATTATCCTGCCTTGTCACCTGCAGAAAAAGAAGAAAAAAATTCAATTTATATTGAAGGATATAAAGTGACGTCCCAGTGTTTGCTCAGGCTTCTCTCCCCAGAGGAAGCCACCAGTGCATTTTTGTATATCTGTTCAGACCCTTTCCTATGTATTTATAAGCATTTATATGCACATACTTCTTTTTTTAATATGAATGAGATCATATGTATACATTGTTCAGTCACCAGCTTTTTCTCACCCTTAAATATTGTAGATGCTATTCCATCTCAGTGTATTTCCCTTCATTCTTATTAATGACATAACAGTATTCCATACAATAGCTGGACTATGATTTATTAACTGTTCTGTAATTACTGGACATAGAGGTGGCACCCTGACCCATTTTTTCTACCTTTACTATCTGCTACTTGATCCCAAGGAGCATAGAAAAGATTTCCCTCTCCCTTTCTCTTTTAGTATATAAATTTCTATTATCTTCACTGTTGGGCATGCTTTCCTATTGTACAACAGGACCGTGCCTGACTCACGTTCATAATTAGAATCATTACAGCCCCACCATGACGCACAGGGCCTTGTCTCTAATATTTGATAAGTACTTTAAAATTTTCCAAAGGGAAGGATCAGAGCGAACATGCAGACAAAAGGGCTCTGATCACTGAGAAACTGCGTCTGAGGCACGAAGTGCTATCTGGTACCTTCTGCTGTTATGTGCTCACTGCACAGAAATGAATGTGTGCCTCCTATGTGGGAAGTGGTAGTAAAACATTTTATAGAAGGAGGACGGACTAATCCTCTTGATGTCTTGCATTGCAGCTACAGCGGGAGCCGCTAAGCCCCGAGGAGATACAGTCTGTCCGAGCCCACCTGGGACATGAAAGCGACAGCCTGCTGTCTGTGCAGATCACAGGCAAAAAACCTAACTTTGAAGTGGGTTCTTCCAGTCAGCTGAAGCTTTCCATCGCCAGGAAGTCGCCTGCTTCAGGTAAGGCTGGCCTGGGGACAGCTTCTGTTTGAGTGAGTCTGGAGGAACATGCTAGAAACTGAGCCAGCAGTAAACGAAATGGTGATATTTTTAGAGGATTAGTCCTTCTTTGATTTCTGTCAGTCTCCAAATAGAAGCTCAATGTACTATTATCATGGGCATATTAAGATCAAAAACCGAATTAATAGATGTTATCTAGTTCTCCTTCTGCACCAGAGGCCGCGGAAGCCTCCTGATTCTAGAGGCCTGGGTCACGTGATTTAGTTAATGAAGTCCTTCCAGGCCCCAGAATTGCAGCATGTACCCTCAGAAGACCTCACGGTAGTGGTGATGGTGTGTACGAGTGCCCTGTTCCTGTTCTCATGTGCCCTCTCCCCATGCCAGTAAATAAGCTTCTCTTACTTTGAGGAACCTAAGACACTTACAAAACTTTATTGATTCTGCCAGAAAGTTGTGCATGTGTGCGCACACACGTTGCCACCACTCTCATCCTTCCTGTCACTATTTCTTAATGTCTGAATTGTCCCAGCTGTGAGGTATGCCAAACTTTACACACATTTACTGGTGCGTTCACACTGCACTGTTTTGATTGTCTAACCTAAATCTTAAATCCTTTGGAAGCTAATTTTTAGATTCACAACTCCAGAATGGGTGAGAAAGAACAGTTTAGATGAGCAGTTGGCCCTGTGGCAGGTCTGAGCATTCGGGTGTGACAGTGGTCACTAGGGAATGCTCTTACCCTAAAGGCCCTTGAGGATTTGCCCACACCGAATCCCTGGTCTCAGGTCTCTCACGCCCTTCCTTGCATTCTCCTGATTTAGACGGAGAATCAGGAGGTGTGAGGTTTGTGTCTGCCACCAATTGTGTTACCTTGCCACCAGCAGCTGCAGGGCCTACTTTTCTTATATGTAACAGGTTTGTGTGCGGCTCAAGCTTTGCTATTATATTTATAAAGTCTTTGACACATTTCTCATTTAGTCCTCCAAACACCTGCAGTAAGTATAGGGCGTGCTATTTAGGCCCATGTTACACTAGTGGAAACTAAGAGAAGGTAAGAAAGCAATATGGAATGGATGTTAAAAGCACTAGACAGACCGTGGCCCTGTATAACTGACCTAAGTATCTAAACTTGTTTCCTCAGCTGTAAAATTAGGATGACCAATAAATACTTACCTCATAAGGTTGTTAATGTATATAAGTGCTTAATACAGTGTATGGTACAAAGCAAGTGGTTGACAGATGGTGATTTCTGGACCTATCGTAAAGTGGTTAGCTTGGGCCAGGTCTTTTATATGTGGCAGAACTGGGCCTCGAACCCAAGTCTCCTGACGCCCAGTCCAGTGTGTTCTCTACACAGTAGGAAGCTCTTGTGGATGTTTGCAGTTTGTTTCGGACCATTTTTCTGGAGCTGTTTCTCTTTTATTGTTTGGACTCAGTGAAGCCTGCTGTGGACCCTGCCACTGCCAAGCTCTGGACCCTCTCAGCCAATGACATGGAGGATGACAGCATGGTAAGCCCACACTGTGCCCCCTGATTGCTTTCTTCCAGGCCCCACTCTGAGTGTGAACAGCCACAGTTTCTAGTGGCCTTTTTGGACTTAGAGGTGTAAATGGATTTACAGCATTGTAGACATGCCTGTCACTTATACCTTTGATTTGGAACTAAACTCCATGTTGGTGGCATCTTATATTTCTTTCTTAGACCTCTTTTCCCACAGATTTTCCTTGTTCTCACTGCATGTGACATATTAAAGACTCCAGTGGGCATGTGTATACCTGAAAAGAGTTTGTCAGCTAAAATGTTTTTATTGGCCCCTTCATCTGGGCAAGTCGCTGAATGCTCACTGTCTTAAAAAGAGATCGTGTTTTATGTCCTTGATCAGCCCTACCTGTAGTAAAGTTCTTCTTTTGTACATCACTACGATGGAAATTAGAGTGGTGAGCAAAACAGATCAGGTTTGTACTCTCACGGAGTTACAGACAGATTATCTACACGTTTACAAAGAATTACACAGTGTATGTAGAACTATTTGCCTTTTTCTCTGTAATTATGTAGAAAATATTCCCTTTTTCATATGACTTTCTCCATATATTCAAATAAATGTAACACTTCTCTGTTCTGCTGGCTCTCTCCCTCCCCTGAACACATATACACGCGCACACACACGCACACACACATGCACACACGTATGTATTCTGTGCTCATTGTTGGCTGGTCTTACGGCTGTTTCTCATGTGAATTTGTTTCCAATTCCTTCCCATCCTGATGCACCTTCTGTGGGCATGATTTAGCTCACCGTTGACCTCTCGAGCATATGGTCAGGTTCAGCATGATGACCGTCCTAAGTAGGACAGGGTGGGTACTTGCTTTTCCATGGACTGTGTAAGTTTGTTCTTGAACCTGTGGTCACTTTAGCTTCCCCTTGGTGGAGACCACAGCTGTGTCACTAACTGCTCTGAACACTCTCCAGGATCTCATTGACTCAGATGAGCTGCTGGATCCAGAAGATTTGAAGAAGCCAGATCCAGCTTCCCTGCGGGCTCCCTCGTGTGGGGAAGGGAAGAAGAGGAAGGCCTGCAAGAACTGGTAAGTGTTGGGGCGAGTAGAGTCTGCTGCCATGCCACTTCCAGTGGCTTCTGATACTCAAGTGTTAACTAAAAAAAAAATTAACAAAATTTTGGGAAAAGGAGAGCTTTATTTCTCATAAAGAGTGGTGTCCTGTAGGGCGGCCAGTCCAACAGGATGGGAAGCAGGGCCGTAGCCAGAAGCTAGGCATGCATGCTTCAGAGAAGAGAGAAAAGAGAACAGGATTTTATACTGAGCAAGGTGGTCAAATATACATATTCAACAAGCTATAGGAGGAGTCATGAATATTCATGAAGGGAAATCATATGCATGCAATCCCGCTTTATCTCTCCCATCCTGCCATGGCTGGGAGCTTGGTTTTAAGGTGTTTCTGGGGTCCCTTTGGCTGAGAGGGGTCCATTCAGTTAGCAGAGGGCTTAGGATTTTTTTAGTAATTGCAATGCTTCACTGTTTTTAAAACATTATGTTTTATTGTGAAATGTGTCATACGTATAGAGGAGTATATTAAACAGTAATACAATGGACACCACATGCTGATCGGCCAGGTAAAGAAACAGAAACACCATTGGGACCTTAGTAATGACCTGTACGTGCTTCCTCAGCCCCATCTCAGCCCTTGCCCCCACAAGGTTACTGTTCTCCTAAGTGCGTGTTGATCACTCTAGGCTTGTTGGATAGGTTACCCGTATGCGAGTCCCCAAACAATGTACCGATTGGTTATGAACAACTGCGTAGTAAGCTCAAACCCAACTAGGTAAGAAAGGTCAGTATTCTCCTGTTGTCAAGGCTCCCAGAGAAAGGTAAGCCGAATAGGATCTTTGGGTCCTGGTTTGGTCCTAGCTTCTCTGAGAATCTACAAGAGCCCCCTGAAATGAAGGGCGCGCCGCCGTGGGAACATCTGGCAGGTGGTGGCGAGGCAGGGACTGGGTGGGCAGCAGGAGAGTGGTGGGAGGGAGGAAGGGGCTGCTCTGTGTGTTCTGCTCTCAGCCCGCTTTCTGGGGTAGGTCAAAGCAGAACGTGTCTATGGGGCAAAGTGAGTGTCCTCAGGTGATCTGAGTGTCGTGTGGGAGTGTGGAGGGAGAAGGGAATGTTATCAGCATGTGACGAGCCACACCTGGGCCAACTTGCCTGCCCCAAGGTTAAAGCCGTGGCGTGATGGCAGTCTTCCACTTCCCCTCAGCCCTGTGTTAGCTTTTCTGTTTCCTCATCCCACGTCGTTGTCTTTCATGATTTTCTCTTTTGTGCTGGTGGAGCAAACTGTCCAGTAATTTTTTTTAAGGCTACCTAAGGAGCTAAGTTTAGTTTTTTTGTTTTTTAAAGACTTTACATATGTGAAAATGCCTTTTCTTGGGTTTAGCAATTGTTTGGAAATAATTTTCTTGCATAATTTTGGAGACAGTTCTGTTGTCTTCTTTCTTCTAGTCACCCTGATGAGATATCTGAGGCCATTCAGTTTCTTGACTCTTCTAGAAGACCTCTTTTTCCATTTTGGAAGTTTGTAGAATGTTCTTTATCCTTGATATCGTTTTGTAATAACACATGTTGAACAGGAGTCTGTTTGCACCTTTTGCTTTAGCCTCACAATGCATCTTCTCAGTCTAGAAACTCATGTCCATAGTCCTGGGAAATAGTTAATTTTGTTTATGAATTTTTTTCTTCTCTCTTTGTTTTCTCTTTCCATAACCTGTGATTCAGATGTTAGACATCTTTGGTCCTGTAATTTTCTTTTTTCTCACATTGTCATATATTTTCCTTATGCCCTACTTGCTGGGAGATTTCTTCAAGTTTATCCTCCAAAACCAAAACCTCTTTGGAGTTATATTATTTCTACTATCATGTCTTTAATTTCTAAGATTCCTTTTTTTTGTTCTAGACTTTTTAAAAATATAGCATCCTGCTTTTATTTCATGGATATGAAATCTTCTGTTTTCTTTTGAGGGTAGTGATAGTTCTTGCAAAGTGTTTTCTCCCTGCATTTCTCTCTGTTTCCTTTAAGTGGCCTTCTGCTTTTTAGTTTGGTCCCTGACTTCCATGTTCCAGGCTTTCTTTTTTTTTTTTTTTGAGACCAGAGCTCTCGCTTGTTGGCCAGGCGTAGAGTGAGTGCCATGGCGTCAGCCTAGCTCACAGCAACCTCAAACTCCTGGCTCAAGCAATCCTCCTGCCTCAGCCTCCGAGTAGCTGGGACTACAGCATGCAACCACCATGCCGGCTATTTTTCTATATATATTAGTTGGCCGATTAATTTCTTTCTATTTATAGTAGAGACAGGGCTCACTCTTGCTCAGGGGTTTCGAACTCCTGACCTTGAGCAATCCGCCCGCTCAGTCTCCCAGATGCTAGGTTACAGGCGTGAGCCACCGCGCCCGGCCCAGGCTTTCTAAGACACCTGGAGGCAGCGCGGTGGCTCACGCCTGTAATCCTAGCACTGGGAGCCAAGGCGGGAGATTGCTCAAGGTCAGGAGTTCGAAACCACGCCTGAGCAAAAGCGAGACCCTCTCTTACTAAAAATAGAAATTAATTGACCAAAATAAAACATACATATATATATATACTAATTAGCCAGGCGTGGTGGCGCATCGCGTAGTCCACGCTACTTGGAGGCTGAGCGCACAGGATTGCTTGAGCCCAGAGTTGACGGTGCTGTGAGCCAAGCCGACACCACGGCACTCTAGCCCCAGCAACAAAAGTGAAACTCTGTCTCAAAAAAAAAAAAAAAAAAGATACCTGGTGACCCTTAGTTCATGAGCAAGAGTGGAGAGCAAAAAGCTAATGGGAAGCTCTGAGGCATACAGGGGGGATTTGTTGGCTGGGCTTTATTGAAGCCCTGGGTAGGCCTTTTCGGGAATATTCCAAAGTCAGTATCTTTGGGTCTTTCCCCTCTGATTGGCTGGATTTCTCAGAGAAGGATCTTCCTGGAGCTGCCCACTCCGGTGCGGTTTGCGGTTTTGGGGTGCAATGTGGGTGTAATGTTGAGTCGGCTCTCCCGCCTCCGTGCCCCGTGCGGTTTCCCACACTGTTGCTGTTGTCTCCTTTCCTGTGGTCCTGTCCCTGTGGGTCCCATCTTTATGAAAGTCGGTGGGGTTTTGAGGGAAAGCGAAATCAGGTACGTGCATCCAGTCCATCCTTTTAACCTGAAAACCTTGGTATTAGTATTTTTACATTCATTTTATAAGTGGATAGAAAGGCTGGTGAAAGTTAACTGGTGGTGGGTAGGCTTGTTTAATCATCACTGTTTTTTAAAATATGAAAGCTGGCAGCATTTACAAATCAAGAGATTTCAAGTAAAAATACGGAAGTTTTTCTTCTGCTCTTGAATTTGGAAAATGCGGCGGACTGGGTCAGCTTTCCCTGCCACAGTGACCAGCTGAGGCTGGCTAGTGGCCACCGGCTGTGGACAGGGCATACACCCTCTGCCTGTCCCCGTCCCTCACTGTGTCCCTCAGCAGCCTCTCGCATTGTCGTCACCTGCCTGGCCCCACAGGCCTTGGAGTTACGACACCCCAGCGTGAAAGCTTAGAGCACGTTTTGGCACTGTTAGTAGTTGGAGTTTCTGGGTGGTGACAAATCTCATTCATCAGCTCCTGATTTTCCCACAGCACCTGTGGTCTTGCAGAAGAACTGGAAAAAGAGAAGTCAAGGGAACAGAAGAGCGCCCAGCCTAAGTCAGCCTGTGGAAACGTAAATATCTGGACCATTACTCAGTGTTTGCAAAACTCCCAGGGGGGCTGGGCATCCTTCTAAAGGAACAAACTCACTCCACCCCTCTGGAATTACTGTCCAGATACTTCACTACTAGGCAGATGGGTGGAAACGTGTGGGCAGTAACGGGGGAGAGGGCTTTTCTCCCGAGAGGGGGCTGGCATGCCCACACCTGAGCGGGCGGTTCTTCTCCTGTCTTATTTTTGGCCCCATTTTTTCTGCTTCAGAGTGGGCCCGATGTTACTCAGCTGTTTAGCCGAGCTTGGCTCTGACCTATGATCTGAACTGCCTAGAATATAGAAACATGGCCTCCTGAGGAACTTTTCTTGACTGTTGATTTTCATGAAACAAGGGATCTTGAGAATTCTTAGTATTTGGGTCCCAATTGGACCTATATACATCCTCAGCCATGTCCTTTAGGCCACTGTGGCCACATGATGAGCTTGGGGATTTCTTCCGGCCCTTTTCCTGGGGACAGGCTGACCCTGGGCTTCCCCGTCTCTCCCACCAGTGCTACCTGGGCGATGCCTTCCGCTGCGCCAGCTGCCCCTACCTTGGGATGCCGGCCTTCAAACCCGGGGAACAGGTGCTCCTGAGCAACAGCAATCTTCAGGATGCCTAGGAGGGACCCGACGTGGGACGCACCTGCTCCTCTGGCCAACTCCTGTCCCTGCAATCCCACCACCTCCTCTGGACTTGCTCGCCCTGCCCGGAATCATGTTGCAGGGTGGGTGCTCACCAGACAGAGTGAAGCTGGCTGTGGGGTGCAGTGGGGCGCAGCGCTGCTAGGCATCCAAAGACCAAGGTGAATGGGCTCGGTTACCTGGAATGGGGGGGGGACCGGTTTCTTCGCCTAGTGTTAGGAGGATGGAGTGTGCCCTGAAGAAGCCCTTCTCCTGCTGACCAGAACACTCTTGAGCCCAGACACCCGGGGGTAGTGACACTCCGAGACAAAGCTCCAGGCCCCTGCGCCCATTCTAAGCTCAGCAGTGCTGCCACCTCCTTGTCTTCCAGAGCTGGCCGTCTACTCAATGTGCAGTTCTTGGTGACAGGAGTCAAGTGTCTCATGACCTCAGAGCATTAGAGGCGTCACTCACTGGCTGCTGTGATTCTATCCAGCGTCCCTCTGCCCCCTTCTGCTCCCACCCCAACTTGAATGTAGCACTCATTTGTGTCCTGTCGTCATTTCTGTTAACCTGCAGGTATTAAACGTGCGTCCTTCTGCCTATCTTGAGATTCCTCATTTATTGTAAAGGGAAGGGATATGCACACGTGTGTGATGTCTGACGCAGTCATCCGTGCTCGACTTAGACCACTTGGAGGAACTTAGTGTCACCCCCAAATGGGGCCAGTCCTCCACTCCTGGAATAGGGCCTCTCTCCACCTACTTTGGATAAGTCCAGGTTGGTGAGAATTTAGAGGGAAGCAGGACAGAACTCTGAACCAACAGTAAGTCTGCCCGAGCAGGAGACCTCTTTGTTCTTGTTACCCACCCACACGGACTGGGAATCAATCTTGCTAAATATTCAGAGAGACTGTGGGTTTAAGAGACCTGTGTGGATGTTTATATTTTACCAATAAATAAAAGTGTTAATTGGCATCTGTTTTGGAAACTTGATTTCATTCCCCGAGTTTGCTTTTGCTTATCCTGGTCCCTGCTGGTGGGTGTTAGTTGTGGGTGTGGCTGAATTCTAGTTTGCTCCGCTAGGCAGTTGTAAGATGACCCCAGTGACCCATTCCCTTGTGTGATCCCTTCCCCTTGCATGTGAACAAAGCCTGTGAATGTCATGGGCTGTCTCTACTGTGACATCCTGGGGCAAAAGTGAAGGGCTTTTGCAGATGTAACAAAATCCCTAATGGACTTGAAGTTAATTAAAAGGGAGATTATCCAGAGTGGGCCTGGCCCAATCAGTTGATCCCTTAAAAGAGCTAGAGAACAGAGTTGCTCTTGCTGGTGTTGAAGAAGTCGGTTGCTAAGCGGTGAGAGGTCCATGGGCAAGGAAGGGACTTTGAGTGCAGAACGCCTCCCTCCCCAGCAGACAGTCACCTCGGAATTGGGGACTCCAGTCCTACAACTTTGAGGAACTGAGTTCTGCCAACAACCACGTGAGCTTGGAAGAGGTCCCCGAGTTCCAGGTGAGAACAGCCGGGCTGGCACCTTGACTCCAGCCTTGTGGGATCCTGGGCAGAGGCTCCAGCCTTCTGTGCCCCGGCTCCTGACCCGGAGAACCTGAGACGATGGGTGTTTTAAGCAGCTACATGTGTGGTAATTGGTTACCCAATACTAGAAAACCAGTACACCCCCAGCAGTGTTTAACATTATTTATCAAGCTGAGGGGCCACTGTTAGTTGCTACTGCTGCATTTGCCTAAGGGAAGGACAAAAATCTCAACTTCCAGGTTGAAGATAAGTGATCCTGCCCCAGAGTGTCCTAGGACAGGTTTAGCCATGCCACAAGCCCTTGCGTACCTGACAATTGTTCTAAGTCCCAGCTGCTGTTAGCAAAAAGAGTGCTGTCTGGTACCGTTGACCTAGTTAATGGCACCACTTTGGCAGCTGCTGTGTCACTCCACAGGGTCTGGGGGAAGCCAGCTCATAGCCGGGGGTCTGGTGTGGTGGAGAGGGGCCTTGTCAGGTAGCAGCGCACCTCTGCACCTGGAGCTCGGCCACAGCCCTGCGCACTGAGGAGGCGCAGGAGGGGACAGCTAGAGCTCGCGCTGTTGGAGCCCAAAGCAGTCTCTGGCTGTCACTGAGTGTGACCTCATCTCCCATCTGAGTAAACAGGCCAGGAGTTGACCTGCTGCCACCCGCCACCTGAGGACCTCTTACAAGTACTGATGCCTGATGTCTCTGCACGTTCAGAGTCAGCAGGCCGGAGGTGGGGCTGGGGACGTCATCTTTTGTAACTTTCTAAGGTCTTCTGCTTAGACCTAGGCAGCGTCCATTTGGGACTTCCCCTTTCTCCCGAAACCACTCCAAAGCAGAGAGTGGGGTGGGCGGCAGTACCCACACCTTCCCTGGGTTTAGGAGGCAGCTGAGACAGAAGCACAGAATACTGGAAAGGGGGACCAAGAGCAGAGGCTTTGGAGCCAGCGTGTGGATGGGAGAGGAGGGGACACCCCCAGGCTGGAGCAGGGACTCCGAGCACACAGGCAGGAATCCCAGAGAGACACCTCCCCTGCAGGAGCACCAGGGGGAGCAGAGACTGTTGTGAACAGCCTCACAGCTGCCTGGCTCCTGGGGGGGGGGGAGGCTAGATAGAGCGTTGGTGAGGATGTGGCCAGGTGAGAACCCACTGCTGATGGGACTAGTTTGGACAGTGTCAGTTTCAACTCTGGCTGTGTGGTAGAATCACCTGGGTAGCTTCTAAATAAAACACCTATGCATGAAATAAAAAAACAAACAAACAAACAACAAAAAAAAAACACCTATGCCTGGATTTCCTTTGCAAAAACTAATGAAGCCAGGATCTTCTGGAGTAGGGCGTAGGGCATCAGTATTTTTGCAAAGTTTCCCCATGTAACTCTAATTTGTTTATTTTTCTTTTAGAGGCAGGGTCTCACTCTGTCCCCCAGGCTGGAATGCAGTGGTGCAATCAGCTCAATGTAACTCTGAACTCCAGGGCGCAAGAGATCCTCCCATCTCAGCCTCCCAAGTAGCTGGGACTCCAGGCACGTGCTACCACACCTGGCTAATTTTTAAAATTTTTTAAAAACTCTTTGTAGGCCGGGCGCTATGGCTCATGCCTATAATCCTAGCACTCTGGGAGCTGAGGCGGCGATTGCCTCGATCAGGAGTTTGAACCAGCCTGAGCAAGAGCGAGACCCCATCTTACTATAAATAGAACGAAATTAATTGGCAAACTAATATATTGAGAAAATGAGCTGGCATGGTGGCGCATGCCTGTAGTCCAGCTACTCGGGCGGCTGAGGCAGCACGGATTCTTGAGCCAGAGTGAGTTGGCTGTGAGCTAGGCTTGACGCCACAGCACTTCACGTCACTCTAAGCCTGGCAAAAAAGCGAGGACTCTGTCTGCAAAAAAAAAAAGAAAAAAAAAATCTTTGTAGATGGTTCACCTGTAATTCTAGCACTCTGGGAGGCCGAGCAGGGAGAATGTTTGAGCTCAAGAGTTCAAGAGACCAGTGAGCAAGAGCGAGACCCCATCTCTACTAAAAATAGAAATTATCTGTGGACAAACTAAAAAAAATTATAATATATATATACTATAGTATATATTATATGTAAGCCAGGCAGGTGGCCACATGCCGTGTAGTCCCAGCTACCTGGGAGGCTTGAGCAGGCAGGGCCCTTGAGCCTAGCAGTGTGAGGATGCTGGTGAGCAAGCTGATGCCACGACACCAGCCCCAGGCCAGCAGCCGGTGGAGTAGAGACTCTGTCTAAAAAAAAAATCTTTGTAGAATGGGGTCTTCCTGTGTTACCCAGGCTAGTCTTGAACTCCTGGCCTCTCAGAGTGCTGGGATTACAGGTGTGGGCATCCCTAGGTAATACCCTGCCCGGCAGCCCTAGGTAATTCTAAAGCACAAGTAGGATTGAGAACCACGGCCCTACTGAAATTCTTTTACACATGCACCTCAAGACACGCTAAAAAATAATCAAAGCAGAACTATTTGTGAGAGCAAGAGCCCGGGAACAATCCAGATGGCCATTAACAAGAGAATAGATGAATGAGTTGTGTGGCCACGTGGTGGAACGCACCACAGCCGTGATGAGCTATAGCTGTGCGGATCAGAGTAGCAGAATCTCACAAAATGTGGAGCCACAAAAGCAAGTCACAGAAGCGTGTGTGTGTGGAATATGTTATCATGTATTATGTAGAGTTCAAAGGTTTAAAAACATGCAAGATGCATCAATATATCACTAAGGATATACACATAATGTATGTATATTATGTACACACACGCATTTGTGAGACAAAACTACATAAGCTCAAGAAGAATAGTAAACACCAAATTCAGGACCATAATTGGCTCTGGAGAGAGATGGGAAGGGAAAAATGAGACTTCAGAGTAGCAGGAAGGTTTTATTTCTTAAGCTAGATGGTGGGTACGCAGATGTTTATTTTATTATTGGTCTGTATACTTTACATGTACATTATGTATTTTGTATTTATAAGAAACTTCATTGAGGAGCCGGGTACAGTGGCATGCTCCTGCAATCCCAGCTACTTGGGAGGCTGGGGGGGGGGGATCACTTGAGGCCAGGAGTTGATCACTTTGAGGCCAGCGTTCAAGGCAGCCTGGGTGATTAGTAAAGACATTTATTTTTTATGTTGTATTTTTTGATTTTATGTTTTGTGGGTGAGACAGCGTCTCGCTTTGTTGCCCCAGGGGTAGAGTGGAGGCCGTGGACCTAAGGCTAGTCACAGCCCTCAACTCCTGGGCGCAAGCGATCTTCTGCCTCAGCGCTCCCATAGTAGCTGGGACTACAGGCATAAGGCACCCGGCGGCTGGTTTTTTAGTGAGTTATTGGTGGCCAATTAGTTTCTTTTCGGTGGATAGTAGACGGTCTGCGCTGTTGCTGGCAGGCTGTTTCGACTCCCGACTGCGAGCGGTTGGCCGCCCGCTCGGCCTCCAGAGGAGGGCTGGAGATTTAGCAGGTGAGCCACCGGGTGTGGCGCCCGGCAACATTACCTCTTAAAAAAAAAGAAAGTTCAGGTTTTAAAAACCTGAAACTGGTGGCGAGGGGCTCGCCTGTGAATCCCGCTTTCTGAGGAGGCCAAGAGGCGACGTTGCTCAGGTCAGAGTCGAACGCTGGGTGAGAGCGAGAACCCTGTCTCTACTACAAGATAGAAGAATTACTGGCAGACGTATAGTACTATAGAAAAAGTGCGGGTGCGTGGCGCGTGCTGTGTCCCAGTACTGAGCTGGGGCGAGGGGAATGCTGTGGAGCCCGGAGATTGGGGGTTGCTGTGAGCTATGATGAGTGCGCAGCCGGCACTCTCTGAGCCTAGGCACACAGGTGAGACCTCGTGTCTCAG